AGACCTGTCTTTTGGACCGTAAATGGAATTGATAATAAGAAGACTATTTTTGGCCTTCCTTTCCAAAATCACTTTAATGCGATGGCTCAAATAATAGAGAAGCCAATTGTGTTTGCGTGGCGCTTGCAAAATTCCATAAAGGACATACCATCGTATCGGTTATTGAATCCAAAAAAATATGTCAAACGTTATAACGGTGGACACACCATAACAAAAATCTCGTTTTGGATTGACAAACATTTCAATCAATCCTCTACAATAATTCGCTTACATTTTGTATTTTTCACTTTCTTACGAATTGAATAAATTGTGTATTACAACAACACACTTAAGCCCATAATAAGATGTTATTATTTCAATATTTTCACAACCCAAAGAATGAGTTATAAATCAAATCTCTATTGGTTAGTTGTAGGTGTGTTATCATTGTTTCTCTTGACCTTTTTTAATGTGGATTAAATTATCAAGTGTTCTATTGTTCCACTGAACAACAAAAACAACGGCAATCTTCTGCACATTCGAGATTTGGTAATTATGTTGTTGTTGCTGCAATTATTATCTACGATATGATACCTGCAGTTTAAGTCATTGGCCTCGAATTTAATATTTGATAGAAAAATTGAGGCGTTGCCGATTACAGATAAAGCAAATAAAATTAAAATGGTTACTGCGTATCGCAATTACAATGAGAAAAAAAATTATGATTTTATAATATACACTAGCTGGCCCGGTCCGCGTTGCCGGCCCGTAGTTTTTGTCTATTATGTATATTTGTCAAAGCATAATTATTCACAGATATGAATGTTATAAATGTTCACGTACAGGTCGATTAGTTTTTAATTTTTAGTCAAATGAGCAGTAATTTGGAATTTACTGTACTTTGTACACCTCATAATTGAGGGCTAATTGATTTAAGAATAGCCAAAGTTAATTACTTTTTTAAACCCATTAGCACCTCAGATTGTGCATTAGAGTCCTCATAAGCCCCCCTAACCATGTCGGTCTGTTTTTCCGCCAAAAGGTGGACTTGAGGGACTACTATTACATGGAGAAAATTCTAAAATTTGTAGAATTGTTGAAATTTTTGTAAGATTTTCACCCCCAAATACACATTTTTAGCCAAATCCTTTGAAATATGGTGAAATGCGAAACATCGACCTACATTGAAAACTTTCTTCACCCCTTATAATCCAAGATGACAAATAGAGGCCAAATCAAAATTATAGCAGAACAACATAGCATGTCAAACTGAAAAAAAATCACGTGATTTAAATAAGTAAAAATAGTTTTATCCACCTCATAATTGAGGTCAGACTGATTTCAGAATAGTCAAATATAATTACTATTTTACACCCATTACCGTAATATGGGAACTAATTTTATTTGTCATTTAAATTGTAAATTGAAGACCCCATAAAGTCCATATTTTTCATCATAGTATAATTCAATGACGATTCAACAAATATTCGGTCCCGTGCTACTTTCTTATATTTGTAATTTGTTCATGTTTTCACAATTTATTTCATATAGATGTACATCCCAAAATCTACGTTCCCAACCAATATTCTCTTGGGGGTTACAAATTCAATAGAATACAAAATTTTTCTTTTCTGACCACACATTAGATGTGAAAGTGGACTTGGGGATACTCCAATGTGGGGACTTTACATGAACAAATTTCTATGTGGCAATTATCTGTACGATGGTTCCTTGCCCCAGGGTAGCATAAATACAATTTTTTAGTGGTCAAGATCAATATGGGCCCTACTCCGAAATTTTTATGCGAGGAGGTTCTCTACCCCCTTAGAAACAAAGACATAGACAAATGAAAATATAGACAACGAAATGCTCTCACCGTTTATCTTCGAAAAAAATCGAATCAGCAGATGTCGTCTATATCGTTTCAGGGGTTTGAGTGGGAATATTGAAGGCACTCAATTCTAAAACGTTAAAAATATCAAAAACTGTAGGATATTTGTCAGTTGGAAATTGTTCCATAATAAAATAAATGTGAAAATTACGAGATGACATCAAAAAATTCCGGAATAATCAAGTGAAATTCTTGAAAAACGATGAAATGTGTTTTCGAAGTCGAGTGGCTTGAACGCGTAAATGAGCATGTTGACTATGCAAAACATGATGAGAGCCACCTGGAAAAAAAGACCAAACTAACTTTTCGTTGTCTATATCTTAATTTGTCTATGACAAAGATGCCAAATAAGGGCCAAAAATAGAAGAAAGTGGCGAAGACTCCAAAAATAGCTTAAATCATACGATGGTTATTTATGATCGATATCATGACCTGCAAAAGCGATGTAAGGTATCTTAAATGTTCAGGAAGAATTTTTGGAAGGATAGAAATCATTTTCTTACTAAAAGTCCCATTCGCTCTACTATTTTGCACCCTTTATCTTTGGTATTTTACTGATTGTACTCCCAAAGTTTTTTGCATTTTGAGCTCTCATTGGACGGATTATTGTCACATGAAAGAAGTAGGGCCACGCTTTGAAATAAGCCCCATTAGTCTTTTTCGGTCATTTTTGTTTGTTTAAATGTCTGCGCATCTTCCAGCTGAAGCACGATGTAGGCCCTGGAGTTTAAAGGTAGATGTCTGTTACCATCGTATTTCGCACTTATTTCATTTTTTTTGGTGAAAAATTGTATATAGTAAAAATTATTCTTTATTTTGTTCACAAAAAATCCACTGAATTCAATATGATATAACAAATTGAAAAAAATTGACAAAAGAAGAAAAACAAATTTAAAAAATCTTCAACTTGTTCGCTGATTTTTTACAGCAACTGTTTAAAGATCCTTACAAAGTTTGTCAATAGAATGTACTTTTATTTTAAAATTCAATTCCATTGGAATTTTTTTTTTTCGATATTTTCCCGTTTTGAGAATTGTTGCAATGATATCTCATTTTTCGTGATTTTTTTTAACGATTTTGAAAAAGTAATTTTCTTTTAACTTTGGTGTGACCGCATTAAATTATTTCGGTATAATCTATTCCGTTTCGCCACCACATAATTCGGTACTACACTTCCATGTAACCCGCCATCAATTTCAGTTCTCAAGAAATCAAGTCAATTAAATAAATTGGTATTAATATTCGAATTCAAAAATAAAATATAAAAAACACTACAAATATACATTAGAAAGAAGTAAGTCAAAATGGAAAAAATAATGCAAAATAAAACATTACTTTTGTACATTTCAAAAGTCAAAATGAAAATGTTAACATATCACATTTTTATCCGTTTATTTTGGATATTATCCTTTTCGGATAAGAGACAATTCCGAATTTGTATGAATCATTAAAATCAGTTCAGCGGTTCTTAAGTTATAAGCGTAGTAACTAACACAACTTTCATCTATATATATAGATGTATAGATAGATTAAAAAGTATGCGTGGTCAGTATGCGTGGACAGTACAAATACTTAGGATTGGAGGGAAGGTCAACAGTATCTCGTGTAATAATTTTTAAACCAATATCTTGTTTATTTGGGAAATATAAGAATTTTAGATAAATCGAAATAGTGGGCGTAAAAGGAGGCGTGGTCAAGATTTTTTTTCTTTAAAAACCTAACTCGGGGTATGACAAACGTTTGTACAAAAAATTATGCAAATCGGTCCAGCCGTTTTCAACTGATTCCGTTACCAACAAACAACAATTGATTTTTATATATATAGATTTGCTAAAACTAATTTGAAATAATTTTTACTGCATTAAATCGCACGGAATTCAGTTCAAAATGTTGCAAAGAATCTGATACATCTCAAATTCGTTTATATAAAAGGCATGTCAAAACTTGGACCATATTAAAAATACAAAAAAAATACTTTTTTAAAAAGTTTTTACTTTTTGTAACTGAATGTTTTGTTTTTGACTTAAGAATTGCCATACTAAAAATTGAGCAACAAATCAGTATATGGCAATGATGCTGTCAGTTATTTTGAGTGTTGGCAACGTTCGACGTTTCAAATGGAGAATGTTGTCGCAATAATTGAATTGCTTAATTAAAACAAAAAGTTTAACTTCGAAGTACATAGGAAAAAAGAGTTTTATTGTGTCACATAGACTTCTTTCGAAAGCCAGCAAAATTGGTTTCTTTATTTCGCATGTTTCTAAATTGGGGGAAAATGCAAAACACGGAAGCAATGATGAGGTTTATTCCACAAAATTAAATTCATTGTAGAGGTAAAATATTGTTTTATTTTATAGTTATGTTTGTAATAATGCCTGAATGTCAATATTGAGAACATGGTAGAAGAATACATGTAGATGCATCAGATGTGAACATTGATATCAAACACCTGAGCTCAAACACCTTGACAGAAGCAGAATAATATTTATTAATTAATTAATTTTATTAATTAATTATTACCAATTCTCAGACCTCGAAAAACATTGTATCTGGTTCCTACGCTCATTCAGAAAACAATACAGCTGTTTTCTTAAGAACCATTTCAATCTTTAGACCTCTACAGACTCTTGTGGTTTTTGTTTTGATTTTTGTCTTTATCACACATTGCCGCTTTGGTCACTATTCCTTATTTCAACGGCGTTCGTTGTTTAGCTGAAGCCTTGTAGTCTGCCAAGTTTGTGTGAAAAATTGACGCTTGAATTCTATTGTATTGTTGCTGTTGACTTGTTTGTGCCAGTTGTGTTGGCAATGTTTTGCTGTTTTGGTTTGGAATATTTTTTGAACACGTTAAAAAAAGTTAGCGGCGTCAAAATGACTACCTAAAGCCGGCCTCGAGTTGAAGGAACTTACTCGCCCGGTTCATTTAATGAATTTGGCCAGCGGTTCGATTTCCTCATGTCTCATTCGTAAACAACAGAGGTCCCTCGGGTTATGCATTCCACTCATTCGTAAACAACAGAGGTCCCTCGGGGATTTTGCTTTCTCGTTCTTTTTTATCGGGCATTTCTTTTTGATTTCTTATTTGTTCCGTTGGGGACGTGTTTCATTTTGGTTTCCCACGCGTTCATTCGATTTGCTCTTCACAACCGAACAAAGCGCGCGCACAAGCAGATTGGTTTGGTTGGTTGGTTTTTGTGAGTTTTGTGAAATTGGAATTGGAAATTGGAAGGAATTGGACACATTGGACATTGGTTGAACCAACCTATATTGGAAAGCATAAGCTATAAGACGTAGTGAGTATTTTGAGATTTTAGAAGGTATTTGGCATCTAGCTTCTGGTAGAAGCTTCAATGTTAGTAGCGAATCGAACCTACAGTTAATGTATACTTCTAAGGATTTGGCTGGAAAAAAGGATCAGGGATCACGTACGTACAGGTACGTGAACCTATATTGACATTTTTGAAATGTATTTAGTCTTTACGTTAAAGACTAAACGACCAGCAAAGCGGAATCTATGCTGCAACAGTTGTTGGCGGTTTTTGCATTGGCAACATTGCCATGGCATCTGTCCTTCAAGCTGACTTGAGTAATTAAGGGTCCTTTCTCATAGAATGCCCGCGCTGTTTCGACATCATCTATTCAGTTTCGCCACCATATAATTCGGTACTTTGTGCTGTAAGTGTGAAGTTAAGGGAGGTGTTTTGTAGAGCAGTCGTTGAGGAAGGTGCTGTCGTGAAGGTGAATACACCGTAAGAAATATTGGAGCACAAATATAATCTTACTACATATTCGGAACAAATATTTCCGAATTTAAATTTTAAGATTTTTCTTTTTTGATTGAATTCTATTTGACAAAATACGAATTCACATGTTAGGAATAGAAAATTAAATTATTTCATATTGTTAGACAAATTTATCAAATTTATTGTCCTTCCAAATTAGAGACATTTTCATATCCCTTGATTTCTCTGAAATTATATGTAGATTCTTAGTCAATATTAGGGAAAATAACAGGATGTGATGTTTGTCATTCTGTTTGTAATGACATAATATTTTAGGACCCAACGCGGGATATGCGTTTCTGATCAGCATAAAATTCTATAACTATTTGCGTATGTCAGCCTGTGGTAATCGGTATTAATTTTTAAAGGATCAACTTAGATGGTTAGGGTGTTAAGTCCGAAGTTATTATTTGTGTTTAATAATTTTTTTTTTAATTTTTTTAATAAAAATTATATAAAATTTAAAATTTTTGAAAATGTCAACTTATATATTGTCTGATCAAAATATTAATTTTTAACAACGAAGTTGTTTTTAAAACTATTTTGTTATTTCAAAACACATATAATCACAAAAATTTTTTGAGGCTCTCTGCCTTGCCCTGCATTATACAAAAAGGATTGACATGCCAGCCATTTTGGATTGTTTCGTCAATAACAACGAAATGTGAAAATGTAGAACGATTGCGCTTTGCCTATGTGTCTATCTCGTTTCCCTTTGCCTGATACAAACAAATGCACAAAGACATAATACCCTGACCACCTTGTGGTGTAGGGTATATAAAAGTTATTCAAAAAATTATTGCAATGCTTGGGAACATTGATATGTCAAAATTATGTCGTTGTTTTCTAATACGACGCAAATTGGAGGTTGTTATGACATGCAATTTTTACAAATATCAACAATTTTTTGTTTAACATTTTTAATTTCAAATTCGGTTTGACGGTTCATTGTCCCAGCATCTGCGTCGATGCGTCTACCTGTGTATTTTTCTACCATGTGTTATACATACAAAAAATGACAACAAACATAGTCGCCACATCTGTCCAGGCGAAAATATTTATTTTCGCCTCAAGCATGAATTTTGACATTTCATCTGGTAAAATAACAGCTGTTTTTAGATTAATTCGCTTGAAGGAAAAAATATATCGAAATTTAAACAAAGAATCACAAAATAACGAAATAAATGATTGGTTAAACAATTTATCTCTGTTAATAACGAGTAAGTTTTGACATAAATGAGGAGAAATGTGGTTATTGATTGCTCGTGTTGTGTCCTAATTTATTGTGTTCTTTGCAGGTAGTTGTTTTTGCACATCTTCGAGACACTGCTAATAAATTGCTGGAGAAGCAATATGTCCATCTTAAGACAATGTGGTTCAATGGCCGGAAGGCTAATGCAGCCACAACGGCAACTTGTGGCGAGGGGATCTTTTGGCCTGTTGCCAGCAGCATTCAATCGATTTAATCTTCCAGCTTTGGATTACGCGACACCAGCAAATGCCCGAGGTCACAAGAATTTCGGTCACAAAAAAGAGATTACACCCAAGTTTACGAAAATCTATCATCTGATTATTGGTTCGCTTTTTATGATTTCAATAATGGATTGGAAGAAGTGAGTATAATTTGTGTATAAATTGGATTATTGGTCAGGACCAATGATGTCTTGTCCTTGTGTTTAATGCAGGCTGAAGGAAATTTGCGTTCGCTGGACGCACTTAGGACATATTAATGAGACAGGTTGTAGAAATTGTATTCCTGGTTGGTGGTATTGAATATAATACAGAAGTCCCCAATATGGGAAAATTCGTTGATTGTTTTTCATTATTCCGCTTAGCGTTGTCCACGGATCAAAGCCACCTTTAAAGCGTATCTAGCTAATATTTAGAGTTAGCGTCCCAATAACGGACTGATATTACATCTCACAAACTCCTGCCTAATCTAAGTTTACCTTTTAAGTATTCAAAAACAGTGCGTAGAATAACCATCCCCCTCCTTATTCCTTGAGTTGAAGCAGCATTTTGAAAGTTGTTTGAGAAAATCTTGTGAATATCCAACACAACAGACCGATTTATAAATCGGGAACTTCGCTCTTTGTGGGCCCACTAATAGAGTGATTTATATTTTCACATTTGAATATGTTTATATATACTTTCGTTCCGACCCAATATTAATGATTAACGAATGCTAAACAAACCTCTAACGATTTATTATTTCTTCTTTTCAGAGTCAAGCGCATGGTTATGCCAAAAGTGGATGCTGATGCAGGCGTTGAACCCGCAGATGTTGACAAGAAATCTCGTAAAAAGGACAAAAAAGCCAAAGACACTAAAACTGTTACCGAATCGGATAGTGACAGTGATAGTGATGCGGAAAGTGAAAATGGCAAAGACGATACAATCGAAGAAAAATCGAAAAGTGCCCGATCGACGAAGGAAAAAGTTGGCTTTCGTGAGAGAAAGGTATAATGTGAATTTTTCATCGTGATTCACTAAGTTATCTTTTTCTGAACTTCTTAATTTTGAACTTTTCTTTTGATCTTTTGTTTCATGTACTTTTTTGTTCACACTCATCCATACATGCACACCAAATTTTGTTTTGTTTTAAAGATAATTGAGTATGAAAATCGCATTCGTCAATTTTCTACACCAGACAAAATCTTTCGCTATTTTGCCACGGTGCGTTTAACGACGCCTCAAGGAACAACCGTTTGTATGACTCCTGACGATTTTTTGCGTTCAATTTATCCGGGCATGAAACAACCTGATGGTAATTTTTATTTCTTTTATATTTTATTTTTAAATGGACGGTCGTTTTACTTCACAATTTTTATCAATAGATAGTTTAGGTTACTGCGACTTTTAAAATGCATTGATCTTGCAGATTATTTTTCAATGATCACTCACTATCTTTAGTTCATAAAAAATGAGGAGCCTATTCTAATCCTGTTGCTGAATTAATCGTATGTCAGTCACGAATTTAAATTCAATTTCACCTAAGTTAAAGTAAATAACTTTAACTTATTTTTTACAGCAGTTTTCTACCGGATTATTTGGTGGACTTTCATATCCATTGTTTCAAGTGAACAATTTGTAAAATAATTGTCTTTCAAAATCTTATCTAGCCATTTTATTTCCCTTACACAAATATTTTCTTCTACTAGACTTCTTTAAACAATTTTTTTTAATTCTGATTTAGTTTATTATCTTATCATTTCAAATTAATAATTTTTCTCTACAATTATCTGAAATGACAATATATGTTTTTCTAATACAATGTTGTTTTCGATAAATCTATTTCAACTTCTATTTGACTCACAGATTGTTGAATATGAAAATCGTATTCGACAGTTTTCTACGCCAGATAAAGTATTTCGTTATTTTGCCACAATACAAGTGGCAACATCGGACGATCGTCATGAAATATTTATGACACCAACAGACTTTTTAACAAGCATGACACCGGGTATGAAACAACCAGAGGGTATGTTGACCTACATGATAACAATTAATAATTAACTTATATATATATAGAATTTCAAAATATATTAATTTTATTTTGTTCCTTTTTAGGTTTGGGCTTGGACCAATATCGCCGTTATGATCCCAAGGTATGAACTTGTCTTTTCCATTTGTAATAAAATTTTAGAATAACTCCCTAAACTCCTCTACTGTTTTCTCTTTCTGCTTATTACTAACTTAAAGCAAGCCCCCGGAAAGGTATTTTCCACTATGTATATATTTGGATATATTGATTTCCCTCTCCATTTTTATTCACAAAAAAACTTCTTGTTTTTACTAATCTCTTTTGAAAAAGATATCGTTTGTCGAATTTTTGTGTGAAGTTCTATATCATATGACTGGAATTTTAAATCGTACCTTATTTTAAACTGAACCTAATTCGACAAATGAAACTGAAATACACATCTCTTGTTTTGATTTATAATGTGTATCTTTTTTTTTTTACTTCTCTATCTCGTTCAAACAGTCTGTCGGCGAAAGTCTCAACTTGAATTTGGAAAAGAATAGTATATTCTATAAATTGGGATCCTACGGCCTGATAACCTTCTCTGACTATATTTTCCTTCTAACTGTGTTGTCAAGTAAGTAAATCCTATATAATATTGTAGAAACTTAACTTCCTAGAACTAAAATGAAGGAGTTTTTTTAGTGCAATTTTATCATCAGGGCAAAATTGAATTCCTTATTTGTTATTAATATATAATTAAAACTTGTTCAATTACTTAGCCAAAGAATAATTTTATTTATATTTCATACCTTTATATGTGTGCAACTGTACTGCTAAATCGTGTCCAGCATGAATTGATATTCCTTCACCTGTTGCCTCTTCTTGTTGATGTACTTGTTTTCTCTTATTTTTATACCCTCCACCGTCATTCCGTTTGTAACTCTTCGAAATAATAATATATTCTTGATCAGCGTAAAATTCTAAGACGAATAAGACCCGTCCGTCTGAGTCAAAACGAATTTAGATAGGAAGCTAAAATTTTTGTCTGCAGGCAGGTCAAATTCGAAGATGGGCTATATCGGTCCACGTTATCGTATGGCCCCTATATAACGGTATCCTCCGATATTTTGATGATTTCAGCCAAATGTTTCAATGGAATTGCCTTAAAACCAATACACCCCTTGTTCCCATATAACGGTATTCCAAGATATTAGGTATTTTCATTACTTTTGCGATATTATTCAAGAGAATTGTTTCAAATTTCGTATTTGAAGTTCGAAACCGTTACTACAACCTCTGACAAAAATTACTTATGCAGGACCACGTATTCGTACAGTCCCCATTTTCATTTGTGCGGTATTTTTCTACGAAATTTTTTTTGAAATTTTTTAAGTGTCGTCCAAATGCTGGAGGTTATAAAAAGTTCGGTCTGGCCGAAGTTTTTTTACTGATTTTTCGAGCTTTTCGTATAGGTTATTGCAGGATATAGTTGAGTAGATTAAACTTTTCTGGAAAAAGAATTATTTAGTGGTCCAAAACACTTAGTTTTCGTTCTTACAGTACAGTCCGAGAAAAACTCAGAAAATAGATCCTGCATATAGTCGTGGTGAAATCTGTCGTCGAGTTGACAACCATTCTTCTCCTTTTTCCTCGATTCCATGAGGTAGCAATGAATTTCTTGTTAGACTGATAGAGATTATAGAAAATAATAAGCAGCCGTATTTCTAGAGGGCATTCAATGGGGCGATCCCCGAAATTTTTCGGTCAATATTTAGTTGAACTTTCCATTGCCAAAGAAAACTATTCGTTGTGTGTTAATTTCTGAAGATCTTATGGTCTGTTCTCGAAGGCAATCAAAAGACTTCGTTTGCTTCCTATTCGAAAGAAAATCACTTTGAGTTTCAGTAACTATCTGTTTCTGTCTTCTACTCGAATAGTGACTAGAATCCACAACTCGAAAAAACTAACGCATTTTTCATACAAATGAGTTTTAGCAAAAGTTTTCACTCGAAATTGAATGTCAAAATCAGTTTCTTTCTTTTGACTTGAGACAAAAAGTTGAGACAAATGATCAAAATAACAATCTGTATCAAAAACAGAATATTTTGAAACACGTTTTGCAAAATTTCAAAAAATTTAATCACAAAATAGAAAAACACAAAATTCTTACTCATTTCATTAGAGCAATGTTTCTGGTAATTTTTTTATATTGGGGCGTTGGTTTCTAATTCATTTGTCAATGGTGAAAAATACACCTTTAAATTAATCGAATATTGCATACGAAAGAATGTTATAGGTTTAGATAAACCCAATTTAAGTTGAATTCATGTGACTTGCTTCGTTTCGTTTTAATTTTCGATCGCCTTAAAAAACTTGGCTTTAATTGCCTTTGACTTAAAATTTTATTGGATTTGGGAATTAAAAAAACAACATTTTTCCGTTTTGAAACTTAGAAAAAATATTAGATTTATTTTGTTATTAATATCATAAAAGTACAATATAAATACTTATCGAAATAGGTTGCATCATGCTTTGAATATGATACACAAAAAACACACACATTGTCCGTATATATATTTTTTTTAATAATAAGAATTATAATCATAATAATAATAATATTGGTTTTTTAAAAGTTTAGAACATTTTGTTTAACATCACATCAACAGTTACAATTTAAATAGCAACTTTTCATTAAATAAAATGAAAGTGAAATGAAAATATATATCTAATATGAGAATAAAATTCAACTAAGAATTTAAATGAATTTAACAACAAGAGACTTGATCCTTTACTGTGCTTTAATTGATTTGATGTACAGGTTATATGGTTTTAAAACACTTCAAAGAGAATTAATGTGTCCTAAAGACGCACTCATTTGAAAGGTATTTGGTTGATTACTGATTTAAAAAAAATCCGAATTTAAGTTATGTATATACAATCAATTGAGGACAAGACACACATAACTCCCATACGAAATGTGAGAAAATTGTACTTTTCTAAAAATAAATGTTTCAGTAAATTTACTCCAGGCGTAATACCATCATCATGTTTCCATACTACCTATAATACGATAGTAAAGGAACAAGTCTTATTAAAAATAGAAGAATAGTGATACAAAATAATACAAACATTCATTCATCATTTACGTTTTCATGTATATATATTTTTTTTGGGTTTTGTGTAAAAATGAGAGTAATATAGAGATTCAGTACAATAAAATACAGTTTATGTATAAATATTTTTGGTTACTTTGAAGTTACGTCACATATTCTAACTAAGATTAGTCTTTGGCCTTTTTTTGTTTTGTGTTGTTGTGGGTGTTGACTTCTTAATTTTGTTTTTTTAATATTTTTATACAATAGATTTTTTTGTTTTGTTAATTTTTTTACTGGAAAACTTTCATTGATTTGGTTTTGTTTTTGGCTTAGATTTCTTTGGTTTATCTTAATATCGTAAAACGTAGTGTAGATTGCTTTGGTACTTTCAAAAATTTGTAAAGAGGTACTTGGGTGGGAGTTTTGGGTGGTTTTTTGAAGAATATATGAATTTTGGTTTGATTGCATTTTGTTTTTGGTTTTTTTTCTTTGAGTTGAATAAATCTAATGGTGTGACGACTGCTCGTTTCTGGGTCCCAGGGTAGCCGATAATAAGGGTATTTCGGTTTCAACTTCATCGGGTATAACATAGTCATAATATTTGGTATAGTTGTAATCGAATAACTCAAAATCTAATTTGTAAATATCAATAAGTTGGTCTAAGGTTGAGCGTTTAATTTCGGAAAAGTATCTGAAATCATAAGCGTAATGTTATAATTGAATTTGGAAATGCATTCTATTTGGACTTACTTTTCCAATGAATTATATGTCTTGGCACCTTTGGACAAATTGCCAATGCGTTTCAAAGCACTCTTTGGCAATTTACCCAATAACAATGACTCCAATCCGGCCTGACGTATTATATACTCCGAGTCGCGATTAAATGTTTCAACTTTCCCAATAATGGTGAAGTTTATGCTGCACGGCGTACAAAAGTTGTAGATTGGTGCCCAATGTTCATTGTATACTTTCTGATTGGCATGTTGTTCGATTAGATATTGCACGAATTCATTGAACGTAGGTCCTTTGGGTCTCACCGCTGACATGGGTTGTTTACGAAATCTTTTGATAATACGATTGGCCAACCATTTGTAATAGGAGTTCTTGCCACCCTCCAATTTATTGCGATAGCCGGAGACAATGCGTTCAAAGGGATCGCGGGCAAAGAGAAATGACAACGATGAGGGTAGGCTATCGAGTAAATCCTGTAGATAGGGACGTGGAAAACGTTGACGGGCCAATTCGATGGGTGGTGTTTCGACTTTTTGTAAATATTTTGGATCATAGCCGCCTAGAGAGGGGAGAAAAAAAATATATATAGAATATATACATATTTATATAGAAATAGAAAGTGTTTATATTTCAGATCAGCATAAAATTCTATGTCGTATCTCTAGCGATGTCCGTATCTCTGTCCGTTTTACAATTTTACTAAGGTCATTGGAAATGGGCTATATAGGTCTATATTTTGGTATAGGTTAAGGCTTTTTGAATGTTTTAGTCACAATTTAAAACAGAATTTTCAGTAAATTGGATGTTGTGTTCTCAGTATATCTATACAGGTCCAAGTTTTGGAATATATATATATTTGGTATTTTAAGGATTTTAGTTACATTCTCTCTCTCGGAAATCCTTAAGATTTTTTTATTAATTTCTATAGATCTTTCCATATTTAAGTTAGTTTTCAAATAATTCTTCTTCATTCTTACCCAATATATTAAAATAATACATCCATGTACTGCTGGCCGCCTTAAAGACATTACACCACACCAAATTGTGTCCCGGTGATATGAAGAATTCTTTTGGCATCGGTGGGTAGAATGAATATAAATTATATTTCTCACAGATCTGTTGTAAATGTTGACGTCGCTGTCTCAAATCATTTTCGGTGGCACTGTGTATCTCTTCGGAATATTCATAAACAGGATTTAAGGTGCTGCTACTACTCACATAGCTGACAGATGAAGAAGATGTTGGAATGTTCTTGATCCTCTTGTTGGTTCTGTTGGCTAGCGATTCCTTGAGAAAACGTTTAATTTTGATCTGTAATGAAGATGTCTCTTTTGAATTTTTGCATTGCGTATTATGTTCATGACTTACCTCTCCCTTTCCTGGTGGTTGTATTAGGCCCACTGCCACCGCAGCTGCCTCGGCCTTATCCTTATTCTGTTCAAAAGCATTCATAGACTCACGAAAAAGAAATCCAAAATAGAATAGCGCTGTCAGAGCGCATGCAACCAATTTTAGGGAAGTCTGTACACGCCTGCCATAACACAGGCGTATTATCATTGTCACTGGCTATTGGATACAATTTCTTTACCAATTTATGATTTCTTTCAAAAATGTCCTCTGCAATTAAAAAAATGTCAACAATTTTCATTTTTTCTAATTTTATTTGTATTTGTTTTTCTTTACGACAAGGAAATCGTTGTAATTTGTTACATGACCTACGGAAGTATGGGATTGGAATACCTTTTCATATATTTTCATCCAATTGCAAATTAAGAAATAGATCAGGAAAATCAATTATTATGGTAAA